GTGTTTTACTCCCGACATCTACTTAGTAGAGATCAACCAAGGCCGGAGAGATAAAAAAATATTGCTGTTGATGGGAGAGATGGACGCTCACCTCATGGGTCACACATTTAGTAACGTTTTTTTCAAATTCGATCAGAATGGCGAATTTCAATTTTAAAAAGTTTTTCATCCCTTTCAAGTTCTTAGTGTGAGACACACAAGAGAACCAGGCAGCGCTTGGAGGAAGCTTTCCAATTTTGCACCGTTTCTTCTCACAATCAGTAGCTAAAAATAGTGAGGGACTGACAGGTCCGAATTGTAAATAACGGTCTTGGGGAATGAAATTTTCTCACCACCTATCAAATTTTGTATAAATATTGGTACTTTTTGATATTATAGTATATTCACTATGGGTTAGAGACGCATAAAAAGCAACAAATGATACAGTTAGGGAAGGAGGTTTTCTAACATGTAGGATGCAGGACAAGACGGATCAGTGTTCAAGTTTATGATCAGAGAAACTTGGGATACGAGTGGAAGCGCATTAAGCGAATGTAAAAGCGATTACGATTGCGATTGGGCCAGTGGATACCCTAGCCCCAAACTTAACCCTCGTGGTCACACTTCACATGAAAACGAAGGATTTAAATGGATCGAAGAGAAAACAAATAGAGATAATCATGAATTGGTTGCTTAGATTCAAAATTGAACCTGAGATTCATTGCGCATCGGCAAAACTTTGGACAAATAAGGGTTTTCTTTCCTTCCCTAGCATACATCTGATTCTGTGTTTATTTTCGAAGAAAAATTGGGATAAACAACCCCAGATCAAATTGGTGGCGCAACAGCGGTCGATAATGAAATCGTGGATGCCGAACCGGCCGAAAACAAGAAAAGAAGCAAACCAAACCGCTAAGAACCAATTTACAAGTATTCCCTCTCTTCGCCCTTGAATTGAGGGAAGATCGCGTCCGGACGAGTTCTCTGAACTCGCTTGCTGCATAACGCGCACCAAACTGAAGTGAATTAGCCGCTATGTCGTAATCCACGCTGCGTACCACGGCAATGGTAGGGTCAGGGATGTGCGCCAGGTATCTCGTCCATAAGTTGACATTAGTCGCCATCAGATCACTTTGTAAGGCCCTAGCGCCATTGTCACGCACTTTTGAGCCGCGACAGCGGCACAGGTGATAATCGCTTGGGCTACTGCTATTCCACCCACACAACCTTATCTGGGATAATTGCTCTGACAAGTAAGAGCGTTCAATTTAGACTGACAGAATCAATCTCACAGAGCTTACTTTCAACACAACGGTGTCCAAGAATCTCGGCCGAAAGTAATGAGAAATTTGAGAATAATGGCACCAAGGCGAATGAGTGTAAAGGTAGATAGAAGAAAATAATAAGCGCAAAGCGAATCCAAGAAAAAAATGGTCGATCAAAAATAGAAAAAATACTCGCACTCCACCTATGCCTGAGGCGAGCCGCTCGTCCGATTCCACAAGTGCGAACGAACTTTTGGAGGTAAAGGCGAAATTGGGCCGCGTCTATCCGTCGACCCTCTTGTTTATCAACAAAAGTATAGGACTATAAATAAAAATATATACGAAATACATACGAAAATGAAATTTGAAACAGCACCTTCGTTCTCGACTCATACAACTGCATTCCAACCATCCTCACTCCCAACGTCGCACTTGTCGATTCACGACATTTTCTTAGCTGACGATGACGCTTGGACTCAGATGCATCGTCTCCATGTTGCCTAAAGAAGAGGCTTAAAGATAGATCCGAAAAGTAACCATAGAAAATCGCAGGATGATTACCTGGTTCCTATCTTGAGATCTACAACACATGGTCTTGAAAACGTTGCCACTATGTTGTTGAGCAGAATGAACCATGAATAGAGCCCTCAAGGAGCTTATGAACTACCTAAAGCCATACCCTATTAAAACTGGAGTCATGACGGTGAAGAAGCCCTGAAGTACCTTGCTTTGACACTCAGCCGCCCAATAGTTGTTCGGCCGCGATTCCGTGATCACCTTACTTCTGCCTGATCGCCATACGGGCGGGAGTCCGCAGCAGATCTCTTCAACTTGGGATGGGCACTTCCCACCGGCTCAGACTACCAGATGCGCTCACCGGGTATCGTCCACAGGTGGCACCACACTCTGACGCGACGTTAACATGGGCAGTTAGGACAGGAAAATAGGTCATGCAGGGATGCGTGCAAGGTGAAGGCAACCACAGTAGTCCGGCACAAAGCTGCCTCAAATTTCGCATCAGCTCGGTAAAAGGCGAGTTCCTTGTATTCATTGGGCGTCGTAAGGGCATTGGCATTTAGCAAAGTCGCTAAATGACCTCATCCCCTGACACGGAGAACATCATACGAACAGCCTTGCAACTAGAAGCACTTAAAGGAAAGCTTCGATCAGGAAGTAATGATCTTAATTTTACTTTCTTTTCGTTTTTGTTCTGATGAAACTCTCCAAACACTTTATGTGTAACGACGTTTCGGGCCTTAAGCCCTTCCTCAGGTCTACAAATACAAGCATGCTAATTTTCACATCAACAACAGATCTAGATGAGACAATTACAATACAAAGCGAAAAGCCTCAACAACTGACCAACTTAGGAAATTGATAAGGGGCGGGTTGATCCGCGAGTCAGGAATTGCTGGAATGATGGGGGTATACAGAGGGAAGGCTACGTGAAGAGACTAATGGATGGCGACTAATAGCGCTGAAAAACGACGTGATTGAAACCCTACCTACCCTACCTAGCAGGAAATTATGAGCTCTTTCCGTAAGCGTTTCCCACCTTTATACGCACTAATTTATGCAGCAATTCCTGTAAGAGCCGGCGCAAACGCTCCTTCTCATTTTCCTAAGTGGGTCAGGTTGTTGAGAGGCTTGGGTTCGGCTTTCGTATTTGTATGTGCTCATTGCTAGATCTGAGTTGTTGATGTGACATTTAAGCATGCCTATATTTTGTTAGACCTGAGGAAGGGACTTAAGCCCGAACCGTACGGGTACTAAAGATTGTCGGAGAGTTCTCGAACAAAAAAGAAAAGAAAGATGTTTCAACAATGGAGTCAGGGAATACTTGGTCTTACCTAATTTTTACTATTTAAAGCTATCTTTCAAAGCAATCATTCTTCTATGAGTAACAACTCTACTTCGCTGAAAACCTATGTGATTGAACCCTACCCTAATGGGAAATCATGATTCGCGAAAGGAAGACGCGATATGATCACCGGATTCACCTTGGCAGGACAGCTAGAGGAAAGCTCATCATTAATGCATGACTGGGAGCCTGTTACGAGAGATGTAAACGCTGCACTTGATCGGACTAGTTTGCAAACTCCAAAAGCGAGCGCTGAGCACAGTGACAACCCCACAAGAGTATTCGAATTTGGTCAAAAACAAGCTTTTCGGTAGTCTGGATAGAATTTCCGTCGAACTTCAATTGTGAGACGGAAGATCCCTTTCTCTTCAAAAGAACAAATTGACGATTAACCAGCGAGAGAACGTGAATGGCGTAAAGGCAAGCGGCGCTACTTGCTACGCGCACAGCCCAGGACCAAATTCCGAAAGAGATCCCGTCCAGGCCAACCAAACCGTTAACTCTAATTCGATAACAATGAAGGCCCGACTGGGGAGACCTTGTATAAGCTGAATTGATTCAAATATCATTGAACAAGGTCTTTCGGGTAGTACCCTGCTTTTTAAAAACGTATTTTTTTTACATGAAATGGAGGCGCATGCATAGAACCCAGAACTATAGTTCATTTTTCGTGAGCCGCTATCTAGATGCCAAAAATAGGTTTAAAAAGCCCAAGCTTTACACATTTTTGACACCAGCTCTTGGTGAAAGTCTACTCATATGGGTTAGTGATGGTCCTTACGGTAATGATCATCCGTACTAGCTGTGGGTACAATTTTGTGACATCATGCAAGAAATGCAAAACTTTATCACGGGATATATGTAGAACCTTGAACCGATTTTTCGCCCCTTTGTTGGCAAGAGGGTCGCTCAAAAAAAAACTAAGCATAGTTCTATGTTCCGTGCACACGTTTCTACATAATGCAAGAAACCGCCCTGGAAAAAACGG